CATTTAGAATGCACCCAAACTTAAAGATTCCCCATTAGACAAAAGTAAAAATGTGGCCTGTCGTAAAAGCATTATGCCGACAAAGGTGTATCAAACTTATATTAGACCTGTAATTAAGGGATAAGCTATAATACAAGCAAACTAATAACTAAATAAATATACATTAGCCTTACCAATGGTGCTGATAACGGCTTTGAATCCCATTCCACAAAAATTTGAGTCGCGCATGAGCTACGGGATTACCAGCCTCATACTTCCTGGAGCAAAGCAAACGGCAAGTTTCTTCCTTAAGAAATTGTATCTAATAAAAAAAGTAAGGCATAATTTTAAAATCTCAAATAAATCTATTGCGAAGCAGTCAGCGAACCTACATTAAACGAAGATACACGCAGCCGCTCACCGAACACAACTTGACCAAGGTTCTCGCCAGCGGCGACTTCTCCAGTGTCAGGACATAGGTCAAAACTAAAAAGCATAAAGATCGTTATAAAATACCTCCTGTAGTCATATGGTACTATGGATAGATCTGAATCAAGCTTGTTTACAAGCAATGGGATGGTAGACTAGAACAAATATAGTCAACAAAATTACTTCACCTTGCAAATTTCACTATTCACTGATTCTGGACAATAATTAACTGGCGCAAATCCTGGAAGGATAATCGCCGAAACATATCCAGAAAGGAAAAGGGAAATTATGAAGATAATGCGCATCTGGGATGAATATGAGGGGAGCAGCAGTCGTCGTCGTGACAAAAGAACAAACAAGAAAAATTAAACATGTTGATTTAAAAAGATAAGATATAATCAAATCATGCTTTTAAGGAGTTATTTGAACACAGTTGAATTGCTTTTGTGGAGGGTATTTCGAAATGGAAATCTGGCTTGAGGTTGTTTTTGTATTTTATTTATTCAATTAGTTGGAATCTGTCCTCAGATCCATGCTCGATAAGCATGACTTAGAAATAATTTCTGTTCTTGATAAAACATTTCTACGTACATCATTGGAATATAAATCCTCTGAGGATTGTTCTGAACTTATTCAAAAATGTATTTCTGACCTGAATGCGACTCCAAATCAAAAATATATCATACTTAATGAGTTTAAAAAAACACTTAGATCTCATTCAGAAAGAGATAAGGTATTTATTGGTGATTTTATTATTCAATTCAGCCTCAATCCCGTCGTGCGAGTTTTATTACTTTGAGTAACAATGGTATACCATCTTACTTACATTATTGACTAAAATAAAACATGAAATATATACATCCTTGCGTTTTTAGTTGATTATAAGACTATAAAAGATGATGCATCTGAGGACAAAACGATTACTATTGACTTGGATGAAATCGACAAACCTCTTGCAACAAATAATCGGTCAGACGAAACGTCATCCATAAAAACTAATCCCAATACCCTTAATCCTGGTTGTTTTGATGAATCGTCTATGTTTGACATTAAAAGAACTCATAAAACCATCTACAGGCTGGAGAAAAATCTATATGTTGGTTTCATTGAGTTTTCATATAATTGTCTTCGTCTTTGATTAAATTTGCTTGCTTTTTTAGTTTTTATCGAAGGAAATCAGAAAACTAGAAGAAAAAGAGCTTTCATTTGATGAACTTGATCAGGACGAATCAGCATATCTTCAGGTTGACCTTCTTAAACGCCAGTACTTAAAAGTATGGAAGAGATTATGTGATCTCCGTAAATCTAAGACATGTGTTGGGAGGATTTTAAGGAGGCGATTCCAATACTCAGGTAATACTCGGCTTTGTTTTTTGTCTCTGTTTTCCTTTCTGTTTCGTTTGTATTCTTCGAATGCAATATAGACCTAATGGCTTACTATTGTCATTTTGATTTATATGCGGTATTTTA